CACGCGTCAGTACCTTTCTCGATGCTTTTGTGCCCATCGATAGCATCTTCGACATCCGAGACGGTCACAGTTGATGCGATTTTGCAGGCGCTTGATTGTGTACGCATCACAGCAAATGTGTTCGTAGTATTTGCCAAAACAGCACTCGCTGGCAAAGCAGCTACTCGTAGTTGAGTGTTCGCGTTGCTGAACGCCGTTTTGAGATCGTCCGATACACAAGCACCGCACTGCTTAGTGTGCTTGTCACTTTGGCTGACGACGACTAGGTCTTCCTGAGCTAGCTGTCGTCAGCCAACGTGAGCAGATCTACAACGACATTGAGAAATTCTGCCTTTACATGCGCTGTCTGCTATTTGCACACACAACAAAGCAGAAAAGTGTCGAGATATAGACGCGATCACGATGAAAACGATGTTGCCACATTGATTCATACGTTTTCGGCTTACGAAGGTGCTCATGATGCATTTCTTCGACCGAGCAGTCCACTAGCACTTAGTATGCCACGTGTTGGCCAGAACGCTCTACAGCACTCATTGTTGGGTTAAGAGGCGCTAACTCGGTAGGGACTTGCGCCGACATCACACGCCGGCTTTCCATGGCCGTAGCCGACTCATGAATCGAGTTGTAAAAGTAGCAGTGGTAGTAACCAACTAGTGTACGAGCTACGGAAAGTTGGTGACTTCGACCAAGTAGCGCGCTAGCTTTGCTGCACGACTACATAACTATCATGCATCTCTCTGGCCTACAAATTGCTCATGTACACGTTTGCATTGGGAAAGTCAAAGTACGTTGTACAGAGAGCTTGCACTCGTATATCTATCGGTCTATTATCCGACATCACTTCAACTGTCGAATAGCAATAATAAACTTCAGCGCCGAACGTTACCAAGTGTAGTCGATCAATGTGGCTAAGCCTCAGCGTATGTCATGTGTATGTGTCAGTCAATCTTACGGAAACGGTCTTTGCTAGTAAGATCGTAGCGGATTGATTTATCTGTTGTTCACTCCTGCCTATCAACGATAGATAATAAGAGTCTAAGCTACCAGTGCTCGACGTGCTATTCTCCTGCGTACGTGCGTGTTTTCTGAGGTCCCAAGAAAGCTGGAATGTTGTGCAGCACACAACGATGTAGGTCCAAATCTTTCGATACTGGCAAACATCATCGAGCAAACTGTAGTTGGTGAGCACGTATACACACTTACTTCTGTACTTACGTGCTGGCGCCTTTGATATCATCATTGCCGTTGTAGCATACACGCCACATGATCGCGCGTACCTGCAACAATTCTGACTCTTGACGTACTAGTGCCAAAAGGTATAAAAATAGTGGAATAACACTCTCCCATGGTGTATCACGCATGACGCTTCGGATTATCCTACCGAGTTGTTTCGTTCATTATGCAGGGTCTTAGTTGTAAGCTAAGTTGTATGCTCCGCAAGCCATCTTGAAGCCATTTCGTAGCCTGTTCAGCTTTTTAGTGTTACATCGCTTACTCGAGCTGGTCCAAAACATGGCAGTTTCGTATCACTTTGTGGTGTGTATTCATTTCATGACCGCGTTTGGATGGTGCTTGTTTTCATTAGGGCGCTCAACATTTGCTGGGTTCGACGAGACGCCCATACATCATCAGTATTGCCACGCGACCCTATCATCATTCCTACTACGGGTATGGAGACAGTCGGTGTGTTAATGAGTGTTGAGAATGGGGGATGAGAGTAACAAAAATCGATCGAGGCTCTGATACTAGCGCGTGCTATATCGTACGTCGTATCACTGTCTTCTTGCTTGATGGTCAATCAAGCAGCTAGAGTTGACCTTTTCATGCTCAATTGTGTGTTCATGCATCGACCGCGGTGTCCTAACCTTTGGCACTCAATGTACGAGCTACTTATTGGGTACGGCGAACTAGCTGTACCGTTGCAACTGTTGCCGTCGAAAAGACAATACTGCCTCTGTATTAAACACAACGATGCCACTGATCGTACTGCAATTGCTACGTTTGTCTGTTAAGCGAGCCTAAATTCGCGAATACTTTAGCAAGTACAGGCTGGACGTTGAGGTAGCGGGCGCAGCCACACAGAGTGCAGCTGGAATGAGTCACATTCCTTGCTGATTGGATTACACACTCGTCCGAATCACTCACTTTTCAATGCCTCTTTCACAGATTTTCATTGAAACGGGTCCTTGGGTAGTTCGGATAAAGTAGTATGCAAGCGACATGCTTGTGCTAGCACTTTGCAATCCGAATTTACGTTTCACCCTTTCCTTCGAATACTCAGGCATACGAACCAACACTATGCCATTGCGTAGAGTGGTTCCTCGATGCAACTGCTGCACATCAGCTTACGTGCACTAGCGCGAATTCGGTCTTTCTTAAGATCGTGTCTTTCTCCAGCATTTGTGTGAACTATCACAACTGTCGCTATATAGCCAGTCAATTATTCATGCTGCCTTACTTATGGTCATCCTCGTCGATTCCATTGACCCACTTGCGATCTCGCACGTGTCGAAAGGACATACAAGGATACGAGCCATACTTACAAAGACAAGAGACTGGTGTCAAAAGTTACATGAACAACCGTAAAGCTCTCACCTCTACCACTTTCCACATTCTGCCTATTGATATAAACATCTTGCTCTTACACTACGTTGACATATGTGTCAAACCTGTCGAGCTGGGATGGTCCTTTCTGGCTGAGTATCGTAGCTTTGGACATGCATCACCTGAGGGCGAAACATTCGTGTTTAGTCGCGGCACAAAATGTGCGCCGATTCCATCACTACGCCTCGTTCGACTAGACTGCTATTTGTACACGTTTCATTTCTATGGGATGTTCTGGGTGTTGTTGCAGCCAGGTACAAAACGATGAAAGTGTGACCGTTACTCTTGTTCCTGTTCTATAGCAGTCTATGGTCACAAGATGCCTTGGCGTTGCTTCCTTGGCAGTGAAAGTAAGCTTGAAGAATTAACTGCAGATATGCATATGCGAAGAACAAAGCACAAAGAGTGCAGCACTCCTTCTTTGCATAACTCTGTGGAAGAAGAGCATTTGCGACAAGATAGCAAGTTTGTAACGTCGACCAAATCGACAAGATTAGCTGTCAATTTGTTTGCGCAATACTGCTGACCACACTTTGCAGCACATTGACAAAAGCCATTATACCAAAGATCAGTGTCGTCAAGAAAAAAGAGCTCATTCGATAGAGCGTCTAAGGACGTTGCATCAGACCTTACAAATTTGTTTCGCTGACTGCGTCGAGAAACAGCACAGAAACATGTCCTGCAGCAACAACGCAATCTATTGTACACCTCTACCCACCCAGTCGCCAAGAATTGTGTCCGAGCAATTGTTGCAACTCGACTTCTCTTCAACCAAATAGAGTTGCATCGACACCACGAAAAGACAGCTTTTGTCTCCACGTGCATCGTCTTGCAGCGATCAATTGATTCCTGGTATCAGGTATAAAGTCGCGGAAGAGAGATGACATTGACAAAGAGAAGGAGGGAACATCACGGATGGAAGCACTTATTCGTTGTAAACGAGGAAGGACAACATATCCGTTGTAACGTGGCTATGGTCGGAGAGAGAGAGAGAGAGAGAGAGAGAGAGAGAGAGAGAGAGAGAGAGAGAGAGAGAGAGAGAGAGAGAGAGTAGTTTCTTCCGAACTTTGAGATTTTGACCGACCACGCATTCCTTCGTAAGCACGAAGCTATTTGACTGTATCTAAGTATCAACGAAACACCTTCTTCTAGAAAAGTCGACAATGGGCTAATTTGTAGCCCTTTACTCGACAGCGGGCCAAAAGGCACACCAATCTCTGATACCTGGTACGTTTCGTGCACAGCAAGCACGACAGCCTTCCTCGCAAACGTTCAACTAGTGCACATGCGCCAGCCCAATCCGTCAGGCCATTAGCACGCATAGCTTGGTCAGTCGCTTTCTTATTCGTATCACTCAGGATAGTCGGCCTAATTATGAGGCATTCCATTACAGATCGGGCGAAAATAGGATAGTAGCTTGCTCGATCAACGACTTATGTGTTCTATCTGTGGTCCACATATTCTTGTGCGCATCAACGCACACAGTCAATCAATCAGCAGTTGTCCACACACACACACGTGGAGTGACAGATTAGACCGTCGCACCCATCACCACTACCCGCCCAAAGTTTCAGGTCAAAAATAGTGTCGTGGCCGACTCATCCGTACTACTGCACTGCCATTTGTGTACGCGGTGGGAGAAGAGTGGGGGGAGGGGAGGGAAGGGGGGAAGGGGGGGGGTGACGTCTGTACCCTCTCCCCCTGATTCTACGACAGAAAAAAAGCTCTGTCGTCTGTTCGTAAACTGGACAAAAAATCCAGCAAATCATCAGGTCTCCAGCCGCGCTGCGCTTTACTACAAATCGAAAATAGTCCCACAAATCCACGAAAAAGAAACAGAACTGCACTTGACTCGACTTGCAAACCCTCGACGTCGCCGTGGAGAAGACAGATGGAGCCGCATTATCGACCGAGCATAGCCGAGTGTTTCTGCCTATGTTGCTCGACGGGAGCACTATCCTGCACAAGACCTGTCGAAAGATTCGCCTCTCGACCACATGGTGTCGATCAGAACTCGGCTTTCTACCAATCAACAGCAAGACCCCCCCCGAGGTCGTCCGGAGGTTCGCCCAAAACGTTCAGCACGTCAGCCAGCAGCTCTCCCCTACCCCCGCTCCTGTCTTGTTTGTCAGGGTTGCGGGAACGTCCCTCAGGATAGGGACCCCCCCCGTCAACTACTAACGGCCTCTACCGTCGCATCGACAAACCCCACAAACCCCACAACCGCTGCTGCCCACGTGAGCAGTCAGTCAGTTGGCAAACTCCCCACTCACACACTCACGCACTCACTCAATCGCGTCACTGCCACTGTCACTGTTCCTCGACCCCTCTCCCCCCTCTACCGACCACTACACGTCACACGTCCACTTCTCCCCCTCTCTGTGTGTCCATTCAATATGCCCCCACTATGGCCCTCGTCGCCGCCTCTCCGCCGCGCGTGCGCCGTCGCCTGTTGGGCGCTCGTGGCCACGTCGCGCGTCCGCAGCGCAAACGTCACGACGCACCCGACCAAGTCGGGCATTGGCGTGTGGGTGGACCCCGACACGCCGCGCGACCGCTACGTGTACCTGAGCTCGCGCGGGCGGCCGTGGGACCTCGTGATGAGCGACGAGTTCAACGTGGCGAACCGGAGTTTCCGCCCGGGCGACGACCACATGTGGACGTCGCTGGAAAAACCCGACGGCGTCAACGGCGCGCTCGAAGTCTACTCGCACAACATGACGTCCACGGCGTGCGACGACGACGGCACGTGCTACTTTTTCATCCGCGCGGTCGACGAAGTGACGTCCGTGCGCGTGTACAATATGTACAAACACCCGCCGGCGTTCGAAGAAGTCTATTTCTACTACCGCGGGGCAATGGTCCAATCGTGGAACAAGTTTTGCTACCAGGGGGGATGCTCGAAATCCGGGCCCAGCTCCCTGGCGTCACGGACCCGGCCTCGGGCAACCCCGACGCGAAGCTCGGGCCCAGCGCCCGCGTCATGAACACGGACTTTTACCCGACGTGGCCCGGGCTCTGGATGCTCGGGAACCTCGGGCGCGCCATCTTCTCGGCCTCGACGAACCGCATGTGGCCGTTCTCGTACAACGAGTGCGACGACGACGTGTTCAACTCGTCGTTCCAGCGCATCAGCGCGTGCGACGACGACCCGGGCTTTGGCCTGCACCCGCACCAGGGCCGCGGGGCCCCCGAGATCGACGTGCTCGAGGGCGCGGGCACGACCGTGTCGGCGTCGGCGCAGATTGGCCCGGGCATGCCGGACGAGTACCGGCTGTTTTTCGTCGACCAGTCCACGGGCGACTCGGACTATTGCCACTTTACCTACGAGTGCAACACGATCGGGGCCAACCACGTTGACGTGCCGACGGCGTACTACGCCGCGCGGCGCGACCACAAGTCGTGGTACCAGGGCTTTCGCTACGGGGCCAACAACTTTTGCCGCCCGAACAACGCGATGAAGCAGGACTTTGAGACGATCGAAGCGTCGCTGGAAGCTGGGATCACGATCAACTCGTGCACCGTGGACAAGTGCCCCGGGTCGGGCGACGTGAACGGCGACCTGGGGCTCATTGACGGCAAAGGACCCGGCCACTGGAACATTAACACGAACGGCACGTGCTTTTCGCTCATGAACTCGTACTTGGGCTCGTACTTGTGCGACCCGGACAACACCCATAGCAAGTGTCCCGAGCCGCGCGACCCCAACACGACGGCCCCGGCCGGCGCCATGAGTTCGTTCAACTACCAAATGGACGCGCTGTCGTCGAATTGGCCGCTGCATTTTGGCGCGTACACGGGGTACCTTATCTACCAAGTCGAGTGGGTGACGGGCAAGAATGGCTACATCCGCTGGATGCTCCATGGCGCGCCGTTGTTTGAAATCCCGGCTGAGGCGGTCGAGAACGTGCCGCAGAGTGCGAAGAAGAACAATCCGAAGAAAGTTACGATTGAGGAGCCGCTGTACATCATTATGAACGTGGCGCTCTCTAAGGAGTGGGGCTCGATGCCCCCGGACCGATGTTCCGTGCCGTGGCGATGGAAAGGACTCCTGTGGCAGAATTCCATGTGACTCGTTTCCACTGTACATGAAGGTTGACTACATTCGGCTGTACCAGGACCGAGGCACGGATTTGGAGGACGACAACTACATTGGCCGTGACATGCGATCCCGCCGATCATCCAACGAAGGAGTGGATCGAGGGACACATGGAAGAATACCAGAAGACAATGACAACAAGGTGGTAGAAGTCGGGGTAAGGCGTTCTGTAAGACGAGCGACGATTGCTCGATCGGGGGCCGTTGGCCAAAATGTCGCTCAAGACGGGCAAGGTGTGAACCAGTGCTGCGAGTGCATGTACCACCTTCCGGGGTGGCCCGCGCTGTACTACTGCTACTCCGGCTCGAGCTCGTCGGAAGAAGGGGTGATGAGTCAAACGTTTGGACTGTCGATGGGGGTCTCGATTGTATTCCCAGGTCGTGGCGTGTTCAAGGTCTGCGCTATCTGTCTACAAGGCCGTCACGAAATCGGCGAAACAGTCGAAGGTTGCGATGGCTGCAGGGAATGCCCAGCGAAAGGCCGCGGCGATCTCCGAGACTGGATCGAACAGCGAAGGCAGTACCAACACGTCTCCGGTGTCGAAGGACAACCATCGTCAGAACTTCGTCTAGACGCGCCATCATCATCACCAGTCGTGTCCGAAGGACATTAAAATTTATGCTTTGCCGTCCGAAGACTCGACTTTGTTGTGTTGCCGTCGA